CAACAGTCAGTACTTGGAAAAGTTATTAAACAGAGGTCATAGAAAGGCTTCATTCTAATGCAATAGTGCTGAAAGTTTAAACTGTGGGGGAGAGAACTAGCACAATCATGGATTTCCTTTACAGATGCTCTCAAAGCAGGTTTGACATGGTTAGAGATAGGGTAAATGTGACAAAATTCTCTGAATCTGCCAGGAAACACATCAAGAGGAAGTGATGCTACCCCCTGTCCAGATCAAGCTAACAGAGAGAAGAATGAATTCTTACAGATTTTGCCTTAAGATTACTCAGGCCTAAAACCAGATTTCTATATTACAAGTTTGATCTGTACCTCCCCAAACCAGCTCAGCCATGGATAATTTTAAAAGGATGCTACAAGTCACCAGCCTGAATAGAAATGGAGGGAGAAGGATTAAGCTGCACAGCAGACACCGCAGCTGCCCCAGCCTGCCTACAGTTTGACTGGCCCAGTGCTCCTTCCCCAAGCCAGCTGATTGACTCTACCTTTTCACTGGTTCAGCCTTGCCTGAATTTCTCTAAAACCTCTCCTTCTCTCATTTTGTCTGGCCTTCCTTCAACAATTGTAGAGAAAGCTTTAAAAAACCAAAACCAAAACAACAACAAAAAAACCCCATACCACAACACAAAACAACACCAACAGGACTGCCCTGCCCATAGGTGATCAGAAGGAGCACTTGCTGGTAGGCCATAGTGAAGCTTGGGAGACTCTTCTTGGCAGCCTTAGGAAAGCATTCACAAGCTAAAAGCAATAGGATTTTAAAGGCTGATATTAAGAAGTTAAAAGCATTTGTTTGTTGCAGTTTGAAGCCATCAGACTAGTTCAGCTGAAAACAAGAAGACTAATTCCTGGAAGACACAAACCTGAGGGTTTGCTGATTGACTATAGACAGAGGGAGACAATGCATTCCTCAGCCCTGGCTCTCTATATCTTACAAAAGCAAGGGGACAAAAGGGATCAGAGTGTGTATGTAGCCTGGCCAAAACAAGTCGTTTTGTTATAGCATGTGAACCTCTAACCTTCATGAGAAAGTAGAACATTTATTAAAGAGAACGACTTCTCCCCTGTGTGGAGGTACAAAGAATAGCAGCCTAGCCATCCAAAAATGCATACTTCATTTGTTAACTTGCTCAAATGTCCTGCTCAAAGTCCAGAAGCCTGCTAAATACTTCCAAGTCATGTCTGCTTCCCAAGGGTTTTTATAAGCTGAACTGTAAGTGAGAGAAAAATAAGGAGAGGACAGAGGAGAAAAATCCTAACAAAGTAAACTTTAGTTTATACATAACTTCAGGGTTTTCCTTTGTCATTTCTGGTGCTCAGGTGTGTGTAACAAGTTAAACGTCGTTACACTTCAACATTGTGTTATTTTTGCTAAGGAATGACTCATACATTTCTTTTAATAATACCCACTATGCACCAGACCATTCCTTGCACTTCAGTCTGCTGACACAAAAGTTTAAAAGCTCCACATTAGGAATGGAACGTCTGACCAAGATAAGGTGACATTCAGAATATATAAAATATAATTGCCTAACATCATCATAAACTGACAACTTGCTGCAGAATTACATCTTCCATTACATGATAGAGTTCTATCTCCTTCTCCCTCTGCCATTCTTACTAAACAAAATGAAGAGTGATCCAGAAACTCCGATTTAAATCTAGCATTTGTTTAAAGTCAGATCAGTTCTTACGTGGGAGTAGTGATACTCTGTGTAACAAATTTAACAGCAGTGTCTTGCACCTACACCTACAGGAACATTTAAAAGAAAACTGCATAATTTAGTTTAAGTATTGCTATGGACCATGTGGACCTGGGACTGAATCCCTAGAGCTTCTTAGAAAAACACCATCTGCCTCAAAAAAAGGAAGGTTATGTGGTAACTTAATTTCCTCCCTTCGTTTTTATCAGCTTTGGAACAATATGACAAAGTAGGCCTATTTGTGATGCTCCACATTAAAAGCACAATTACTTTGAGACTGACACCTAGGCACCAAGACTTGCTAAATGTATTTATGGTAATAAATATTGCATTCCAAGTCATTAAAGGAAGTCCAAATTAAAAGACCCTCTGCTCCCCACATCAGGTCACAGCAAGTCCAGTGACAAGCTGAATGGAAGAAAATGGGAGGAAGTTCTTTCTCCAGCAAGGAAGATTTTACCTAGATTTTCAGTTTCCTTAAGAAGTGGCTTTTGTTTAAGCTCTATTATCAGTTGCATGTTTTATAGTTTACAAGCTTTGGGAGTTAAGGCTTTCTTACTCCATTATTACTTTTTTTGATGCAGGTGTTTCAGAGGCCTTTGAGCATGAGTACCCAAAAAGGAAGTTTTGATTGTAAGTTTCATGTTTGCTGGCAAAACACACTGGTCAAAAATACCTATTTCTTACAGAATCTCAAAAAAAAAAAAAAAATCTGTCACAGCCCAATAAAAGCATTTCAAGTGTATCTAGAGCGTCAAAAATAAGTTCCTTTAATGTAAATTTACTTATTTCTACTAAATCACTTCTGTTTTAAATGTCCTTATACAGTTAACACTCAAAACCTGTGTTTCACATCTGAAGAAGTTGTATTTCAGACTAGTTTAAATTTGAGATCAAAAATTCACCAAAAGCCTAGCAGGCCAAACTCATTAAGTTAGAAACATGAACCACAGCTACACAGTGATTTCACACTCCAGAGGACACACAAAGAAAGCACAGCACATTTGCCCAAAAAAATCAAGAATTTTACTAAGAGGTTACAGATCACGAAATCATTGGCAGCTTATCATCTAAGAATATCAAAGAGACTGGAATTTGATATGCACTTTAGTAGGAAACAAAAACCAATGCCACCTAGAATATGAGGGAAAAATAACGGATAAAAAACATAGCTAAGGATTGCATCAAGCAAAGCAGTAACTGTGAACAGGAAGGAGAGATGAAGTGGATGAACACCTGAATATGAGACAGTGCAGTATCATGACAAGCCAGGGACTCTGGATGCATTAGCCAGAGCCATGAAACAGGTTATGTTCCTGCGCCTAACTTCTTTACCTGTCTCACGACAAGGCAGTACAAAACTCTGCATGCAATTCTGGCATGCACAGCTTAAGCATGAGTATGGAAAGGGAATAGGAGACAGCTATAAAGTGATTAAGAACTGATGATTCGGTCAAACAACAGAAAACCGAGTCAGATGTACTCACATTAAAAAATGAACAGAATTCTAATTGGGTGACAGCTATCAGAAGAAACTACTGATCATTATAGGAATCACCTTCACTCTGGAGGAGATATACCAAACAACGGCAGCAGGATGGCATTTAAAGTCTATGCTAAAGTAAAAACAATGCAAAATGGGTACAATCTCATCACAACAAAAATCACATTGTTTGAACTAACCTTTAAACTTCTTTTTATAAAACGATGAGAAGATTGACCTAAACTCAGCTACTCTCTTGTTATCTTAACAGATTATAAATGCTTCATATGCAATGTTTACTGTACTTATCTATTTCTAATGTACTGATCACAGCATAATCTAAGCATTCTGCGATTAAAAGAAATGATTGCTTTATCTTTTAAAAAAATTTAGTGCCTGATGCACTAGAGGAAAATTTTTCAGAGTGAAAATGCTTTATGCAAGGTCCGTTACGTTTATTTGTACATTCTGTAAATGATGAGATGAAAAAGATGCATAAGACCTTTCTCAACTACTTGCAAGTAATCTTGGCATGAGCAGCTGAGGGACCTGTGGTTGTTTAGCTTGGAGAAAAAGAGGCTCAGGAGAGACCTTCTCGCCTTCCACAAGTACCTGAAAGGAGGTTGTAGCAAGGTGGGGGTCAGTCTGTTCTCCCAAGTAAATGGCAAGAGGACAAGAGGAAACAGCCCCAAGTTGCACAAGGAGAGGTATACTTTGGATATTACAAAATTTTCTCCATGGAAAGGGTTGTAAAGCCCTGGAAGAGGCTGCCCAGGGAAGTGCTGGAGTCACCATCTCTGAAGATGTTTAAAAGACATGTAGGTGTAGCAGTGAGGGACATGGTTTAGTGGTGACCTGGCAGTGCTAGGTTAACCGTTGGACTTGATGATTTTTAATGTCTTTTCCAACCAAAATGATTCTGTGATACTTAAGAAATCACAGGGAAAAGAAGGCTTTGACACAACACAGTAAAATCATCACCTTGAAGGAAAGAGGGAAGAAAGACAGTAGCAGTTCCAGTTTAAAAAACAGTAAAGAGTAACTAGCTTGTAGCTTAGGAATAATATCCAAGAAAATATTTCTTTGTAGATAGGCACAGCAAAATTTAGACAGGACAACAGTGTATGAGTATAGGAAGGACAGAATACAGCAAGACATCATGATTTCTCAAAGTCAAGAAAATATAAAGAACAGTAATTTCTGGTTCTCTCATCAAGGAAGCAGTGAGTTCATGGGAGTCCATGAACTCCATGAAAGCTCCAAAAGGAACTGAAAGCACAAGGAGCAACACAGAGGCCAAAGCATGCATCCTCAAATCCTACAGTGACAGGGTAGCAGTAAATAACATTTTTGCTTTCAAAATTTACGCAAAGTGTGTAGGAGTTTTATAACAAATCCTCCAATACTGGTCATAGCAGAGGAGTAAGCCTAGAAAGGAATGGCTGCCGGAATCAAATGTGCACTTTTTACTGCACAGAGGATTTTTTCCAATCTCACCTATTAATTGGTAAAAATTACCAGTTACCAGACAAAAAAAGTCAGTTTAACAGAGCATTGCCTGTGGCATGGTGCTGGTACAGAAACAATTATTAACAGGTCCCAGTTACATCCCTAAGTTAGATTTAAGGGCTTTGCTCATAAAGGAGGCACATTCAGCGATACAGCATTACTCCGCTTCACAAAGCAGTGCCTTGTACTCACAGTAAGTTAATAAGGAAAGAAAGTGGAGGAAGAAAAAACCCGAAGTGCAAAAAGTAATCAGTACCAAGTTACACATTTAATGCCATCACTTGTTACCTGGATTTCTAATTCAGCAATATGCTGTTGAAGTTCAGCCACAGCTGCGATGCGGTCTGCCTCACGGAGCCGTACTGCCATCACTTCTTCTTTACTCTGAAAGAAGTAAAAGATTGATTAAAGATGACAAATAATATCAGTTTCAGTTTGTTAAGAACTGTGCACCACTTTTACCCAAAATCATGTAACTAAAGAAAACTTAATACACTGCTGTGTGAACTATCAAACCTACAAAGGTGTATTCTGAAGAAACCAAATTTAATTTTAACCCACAGAACTGTGTAATCAATATAAATTCTAAACTATAATAATCTAAAAAATCTGTGCCATTTTGAAACATGCTGTTATCAATTTCCAAGTTCAGAAAACAGCTGTCTTGTGTTCCAAGAATGTTATATTGTAAATGAAGAAAAAGCATTAACAAAAAACAGCTCATGCTTCAGCTTTTGACTTTATATATAAAGAAACAGCAAAGCTACACAAGAGTTACTTGTTTCATCATTCTTTGTCTAAAAAAGTAAAATGAAAAAAAAATCCAAACCCAAACACACAGATATTCTCAACCTCATTTAAGTCCAGCTATCTTAGTCACAGATTTGCAAGACAGTTTAGAAAAAAAATTCTAATGCCCATAAATTCCAGTCACAGTCCTGGTGTAAGTTTAACTTATAAGTTTGTCTGTAAGTGATAGACAATTTGAGTTTGGACAAGAGATAAGGAAGTTTCCTCATTTATGTTTTATGAGTCAAGTCCTCAAAACTTCTAAGCACAAGACAATATTATATTGTCAGCAGCTCGGTACCGCCACAGAGAAGAAAACTAATACTGAGTGAGCAATGCCTTCAGCTGGAGTGTAAATAATTCTGAGGATGAGACAGACTAAGCTCAAGACACCCACTGTCATGTCAGACTGGTATAACTCTGCAAACTAGCTACTACAAATCAGTTCCAGTATTTCAGTTATTTTAATGTGTGCTTCAAACTGGCAGCATTTAACCACCCTTCATTAGACAATGTGGTTGAGACCGAATTGAACATGCCAAACCTTACCTATAGTGCCTACTTGAAAACACACCATTTACTTTAAAAAAAGGATTTCTGTAATGAAGGTACATCTACAGGATTACAGCATTTGTAATCAGTGGAGTCCATTCCAGAGAAATCCATCATGTGTTAGCCAAAACTTAGCTGTTATTGCTAAATGCTGCTGCATGAACTGCTCAAGTAAAGCCAGACCCACAAGTCCACAGGACTGCATTCATTTAATGGAAAGCTAATGGACAGACTGGCTTGGTTTGACTTTGGTATCTGAGATGAATCAATAGTGTTGCTCTAGACGGTACTGATGCTTTATCTCTGAAACAGAGCATGTTCTCACTAAGTACCACAAAAGATGATATGGTAGGAAAGACAAGACTAGGAAGAGAGTACAAATGTTATGTTGTAAATTCTTTAGCAAAACTGGTTAGAAAGATCAGTGCTGTGTTTCAAGAAACAATTTGAAATTAAACCATTGCTGTAGAAGCAGCACTCGGATAAAAGGGAAAATTGTAACAGTATACACACCAATGACAGAAAACGTTGCCATATAGGTGTTATGAGATGCAATTTGCTACAAAAACTTTAATTTCTGCTTATTTTAAGCTAATCTTTAAAGAAAAATACAAGGCTTCAGAACATACAGTTCTTTCTGCATAGAAAACACAATCGGGGAGCTGAAAACCCAAATACATCTTCTGATACACCTTTTCAAGTAGAAATATTGCTACCTACCCAAGATGTAGCGACACAAAATAAAACTACAGCATGATTCAGATGACTTGAAACAATTGGAAAAAAAATCAAATATCAGTTTCCAATGGAATCAGGAAGAAAAAACTTGACAGATTTAAAGAGATGCAAAGTGGAAGTTTTAAAACTATTTAGTGCTACAAAGTCTTAACAATTGTCCGTATATTCCATGACATTACCTGAAAGATTACCGAAACTTTATCAGTTTTGAATACAAAGTTGTTCTATCAGTAACATACGAAATAGGTTTATTTCAGACATTTACACAGCAGTACTCTCCTCAATTCAACCTTCCTGTTATTATCTGCATTTCAACCCAAATCTAAGTTGGTAGTGACACTTTTTAGGAAAGTTACAGGTACTGAACCTACTTCTAGCCTGTAGGTATTACAAGTCTGCTGTTACTGCTGGGGACTAGCCCTTCACACTTTTAACATATGCCTCATATAGTAACCATATGACACCCTGATTTCTTGTACCCCTAGTTAGCATAAAAAAAGCCAGTAACATTGAAAATTATTTTTTTTTAGCTTGACAAGCATACCAGTGTTTCTCCTTCTACTTTAAACTTCAGCTTCCTCCCCTCTCTCCCTTTCAATTCACTTCAACACTACAATCTAGTTTGCCTCACACAGTGAAATAAATTTTAAAAATCACAAGCAGGAATTTCCTTCATTTATTATTGTAGTACAGAGATGGGGAGACAGCAACCTAAATAAGTCTCTTCTGTAACAAGAAAAAAGTGAAAGCATTTGGCTTGAGTCTTCAATTAAGCTAAAAATCATGCTTCCAGTACTTTGAACGTGGGGAGCAAGGGACAGGACACAGAATGACAACCCTTATAAATCGACTGTCAAAGGACAATAGTTTTTTATATCCCCTCATTTTTCACTTAACTGTAAATTATCATGTAGACCTTGAAACCAAAAAGCTTTTCTCTAAGTTTGAAACAGCAATAGGAAGCTCAATACCAAATTGTGTCCCAACGCTTGAACTTGTGCATACAGTTTCATTTTTTTGATGATGCAGCATTCTTATCAAGTCTGCAACTTTGCCGAATTGTTTGTATAAATTAGAAAATAAGTCAATGACAGTTAACAAAAAGTGTCAGAATGTAAT